CCTGGTACCCAAAACAAAAACAAAAACCCAGTAAGCTAATGTATGTGTAACAGGAATTGGAAAGGAGGAGAGAGATTATGAGAAATGTAAAACTTTTGAATAAATACTGGCCAAAATGTCCCAAATTTTACAAAACTTAAAACTCTCAGATTCAAGAAACTCAACAAATTCCAAACACACACATACGTACACACACAAAACCCTGAAAAAAAACTACTCCAAAGCAAATCATTATCAAAATACTTGCAGAGGAATCTCATAAACACCTAGAGGAAAACCCATCACATACAGAGGAATAAAAGTAAGGATAACAGCAGACTACTTGTAAGAAATAATGAATAATGCTTTAAGATACTAGAGCAACATTTTTACAGTTCTAAAAGAAAAACGTTATCAATGTAAAATTCATTATCCAGAGAAAATAGCTTTCAAAAACAAAAATAAAAAGAGACATTTTCATATATATAAAAGTTAAAAGATAAAAGCAAACATGGAAAACAAAAATGTTAAAGAATGTCCTTTAAGCAGAAGGAAAATGATATCAGTTAAAAATCTAGATACATATGCAGAAAAGAATAGCACTAGAAATGACAGCTACATGGGTACCTATGTATCATTATTTAAATCCCTATAAACGATAATCAACTGTTTAATGCAAACAAATAACATGTTGTGCAGAAAAGATAGCCTCTTTAAGAAATGGTACTGGGATAACAGAATATACATGTGTAGAAGAATGAAACTAGATCCCTATTGCCAGGAACCATCCTTGAATTGTGCAAGAACCTAAAAGACAAGGAAGCCATTAAGCAGGAAAGCCTGGTATGGAGAACTCCCAGTGAGAACCCCCAGCAGCAATATTGCTGGTTTGAGAATACTTGGTTCACGTGGCTTCCTACCTAGCTGCCTCTAAGTTCAGCAGTGCAATGTAGATGGGGTGACCCCCTGAAGCCACACAGCCACTCAGCCTCTCGGAGATGAGTATGGCTTGCCAAGATGCCAATCAACCTGTTTGCTACAAGACCCCTGCAACACAGAGAAGGTTTCCACAGTTTCCACTGAAACCTTAACCTTGCCTTTGATGTGCTTCCCCTTAAATAAAGAATTGGATGGGCTGGAGTTGTGGCTCAGAGGAAGAACACTCACCTAGCATGTGTGAGGCCCTGGGTTCAATGGTGGAATGAGACGAACATCATTACCCTAAGTACGTGTATCAAAACACGAATGGTGTGACTTTACTTTGGGTTCAACTAGAGACATGAAAAATTGTGCTATATTTGTGTAATATAAACTGAAATGCATTCTGCTTTCATATATAACAAATTAGAATAAATAGAATACAACAAAATTTTTTTTAAAAAAATGGAGCCATTTTTTAGTTGTTCAGTTCTAGCTCTTATTAGGACTGGAAGATCTAACTCTGCTTCCTTTTTATTTAATTTCTGGCTCTGCCTCTATTTCTTAGTAATTATTTCAGACTTTCTACTTCTCTCAGGTGGATCACATCTCCTGAGCAGGAATCTACCCTGGCAGGGTGCTGGTCCCCCTGCAATACCTTATCTCTCACCCTGTACAAAAGTCAACTTAAATTAGATTAAAGACCTAGGTATAAGAACAGGAACTTTCCAACTGCTGCAAGAAAACATAAGGGAAGGAGTTCAACACATAGGCACAAGCAACAACTTCTAGAATAAAACTTCTGTAGCTCAGGGAATATCAAGAATCAATACATAGAATATCATCAAATTCAAAAGCTTCTGCCCAGCAAAAGAAAACAATTAGCCATGTGAAGACACAGCCTATAGAATGGGGGAAAATCTTTGTGAGTTACTCTTCTGACAGAGTATTTAATATCCAGAATATATAAAGAACTCAAAAAATCCAACACTAATAAAATGAATTATCCAATTTAACAAATAGGCAAATAAAATGAACAGACACTTCTCAAAAGTACAAATGGCCAAAAACTAAATGAAAAAATGTTCAACATCTTTATCCATCAAGGAAATGCAAATCAAAACTACACTGATATTCTATTTAACTCTAATCAGAATGACAATCATCAAGAATATAGATAACAAAAAATGCCGGTAAGGATTCAGGAAAAAAGATAAACTGTTGGTAGGAATGCAAATTAGGACAGCCACTATGGAAATCAGTATGGAGGTTCCTAAAAAACTGAAAGTAGAACTATCATATGACCCAGCTATACCATTTCTTGGTATTTACCCAAAAGAATTAAAGTCAGCATGTTTTAGTAATACATGTGTGCCTATGTTATCAAAGCACAATTCACAACTGCCCAGTTATGGAATCAGTCTAGGTGTCTAGACTAGGATAAAGAAAAGATGAGATATACAATAGAGTTTTATTCAGCCATAAAGAACAACAAAATTACATCTTTTGCAGAAAATGGATGGATCTGAAGAGCATCAAGTTAAGTGAAACAAACCAGACTCAGAAAGACAAGTATTAAATATTTTCTCTCATATGTGGAAGCTGGGGTGGGGGGTGGGGGTGGAGGACATTATGAAAGCAGAAAAGTAGAGAAAGGGAGTTAGGGAGGGAGAAGGTAAGGATAAGGGGAGGTATCAGGGAGCAAAATTGATCAAATTATGTTATGTGCACATACAAAAATGCCACCATGCAACCACTATACTATACAATTATTACGTACCAGCAACAACAATAACAACAAAAATAGGATGGGAAAAACAGAAATATACTTTTTTAAGATTCTTACACTGTATGTGAAGTAGGATATTATCACTGAAGATAGTGCAAGTTAAATATGTACACTATAAACCCTTAAAGCAATTACTGAATTAACACAACAAAGATACATAGCCAATATGCTAAAGAAAAGATCAATTCATAAAAAATATAGAGTACAAAAGAAATCATAAAAGGAAGAAAGGGGAAAAGAAGAATCATATGCAACTAATAGAAAACAAATAGTATGATAGAAGTTTTTTAAAAACCATATCAACATTCATGAAATGTAAATACTCAAATCATGTCAATTAAAAGGCTGGTTATGGGGGTGCACAGCTATAATCTCAGTGACTTAGGAGACTGAGACAGGAGGATTCTAAGCTTAAAGGCCAACTTTGGCAACTTAGTGAGACCGTGTCTCAAATTAAAAAAAAAAAAAAATTTTTTAAAGGACTTGGGGTATAGCTCAGTTCCATCCCCAGTACTACCAAAAAGAAGAAGAAGAAAAAAAAAGAGAGATTATTAGAAAGGATAAAAAATCAAGATGTAACTATATCCTGCCTATAAGAAACTCACTTTAAATAGAAACAAATAAAAGTAGAAGAAAGAAAAAAATGTCAAAAAAATCTGGCCTCTCTTAAAAAAAAATTGGAATCAGGAATGGCTGTTGACGTAAGTTTTGAATCACAAGTTGCCATAATTCAGAAAATATATTCATATTCAAGAGTCCTTTCTAGAATTTTAACATTAAAACTATGTTGTACTCATCACAATAAAATTCACTATATATGTGCATATACATCATTATTATTTCAATTATCTCAACAACCTCTAAACACAACTAAAGATTTCCTAAATGAGCTAAGAGATTTATTGTGATCAATAAGTAAACACAACGTGCTTTGAAAGGTAGATATATATGTTTAACAGTTTACTTCTGTATCTGTGATTTCACTAAAATACTGTATATTAAATAAAGTCTGAGCCAAATGGTAGCAGCAAAACACAATCACATCTCACCACATCCCTTCTCTTTGGGAAAAGACTAAAAGGACTATTGATTTTTCTTCCTGATAACATTCTTTGTTAAAATATACTTTGACATATCTTCATGGCTGTTTAACAATCATCTATTCATTGAGGCACTAATAAGGAGGCATATACACTAAGCATTATATTGTTTTATGCTAGGAAGTGGGGATTAAAAAAAAAGTTATGTTCTTGTTCTTGAGAGACAAGTATAGTTGGGAAAAGGTGAAATACATGTTTGTGAAATGTCACAGTACGCTGAAAGTTATATGTCTATAGAATATTTGCCCTACCTTTTTAATTTATATGTGTAAATCAGTATTTCACCACTGTTATCAAATCTTAAATATGTAAGGTCATTCATATTATTCCCTTATTGTATTTTGACATGTGGGTTTGTAGTGATATCCCGGTTTCACTCTTGCTACTGATAATCTGTGTCTTTTTTCTTTGTCAGGCTTACCAGAGGTATGTCAAATTTTATTGCTCTTTAAAAGAACAAGAATTTTGTTTCATTCATTTTTCTCTATTTTTTCTCATCAATTTCATTTAGTTCCACTCTTATCTTTATTACTTCCTTCCTTCAACTTGCTCTGATTTTATTTTACTCTCATTTTTTTAGGTTCTTAAAGTGGGAACTTAGATGTTCATTTGAGATATTTTGCTTCTTAATGTTATATATTTCCCTCTGTAATTTAAAGACTGTCTCATAAGAAAGTAATATATGGCCACAAATTTGGAAATAAATAGCAAAAAATTTAAAGAACAACAAATGGGAAACAGAATAATCTACCAAGAAAAGAAAATTCTCCAAGGTAAAATACAGAAAATATTCAAAAACAGCAGAATAACAAAGGTGATATTACTAAAACAATTCTCAAAACAATATGAATTAGACCAGATGACTTCAAATAAATGAGTATCAAGCCAATTAGACATAAGAAGGAAAAAATAGGCATCTGGAATATAATCCACTAAATTTGCCTTACAGATAATGTAATACAGAGATTAGTCAACACAGGAGACCAGAAGAGTTTTAAAATCACATTTTCCTAATAAATCCTCTTAGATGGGCTTCTTTACTACCCAGCCAATTTCATATTCCTTGATGCTGCAAGGAAAACACAGAAGCTGAGGCTGGGCACATGTGAAGGGTATGTTTAGAACTGTAAAGATACCTATTAATTAGTTGCCCTACCCCATGGAGAAGCAGTAATTTCTAACATGATATGTGGAAGAATATTTTTTTTCCTTACCCTCTGAGCTTTTGCAAGTTCTTCTTTTAATCTTTCATAGCCCTTTTCTCTAACTTCAAGAACAGATGGGCTTCGTAAACGGGACAGACTATCTGTACTCAACCCAAAAATATCATCGCTGCCAGCACAAGCCTCTGTGATAGTAGCTCCCTGTAAAAACTCTCTCTCTGCATTACAGTTGTCCTTCCTTGTAGTTAATTTAGTGAACTCAGCTGCAGCTCCAGAGGTAACAGAAGATGCTGGGTCTGTAACATGAATGCTATAAAGAAAAGAAACAGTTTTCAGAAAGTATCAGTATAAGCACCAAAGAAATGGCATAAGCCATATCTCTAAAACTGCATTATCCAATTTGGTAGCTTCTGTATTTAATTAATAGCAAGTCTTCAATCATACTAGTCACATTTGAAGGGCTCAACAGCCACATGAAGCTAATAGCTTTCCTGCAGATTAACAGAGAAATAGAACATTTTTAACATTACCAAAAGTTCTACTGGATAATGTTAAGAACAGGGGTCGGCTCTATAGCCTGCAAACTAAATCAAGCCTGCCACCTGTTTTCATAAGGCACATGAGCCAAAAATGGCTTTTGCATTTTCAAATGGTTGAAAAGAACTCAAAAGAATACAATTTCATAGCATGTGAAAATTATATGAAACTCAAAATTCTGTGTCCATATAGTTTTATTGGAACACAGCCCACTCGTTCATTTACATACTGTCTATGGTGGCTTTTACACTCTATAAAGGCAGAAATGAATAGGTGGAACAGTAACTATATGTCTTACAAAGGCTAAAATATTTACTATCTGTCACTTTACATTAAGTTTTTCAACCCCTGTTCTGAAGCATTATACATCACTCTACACAGTGAAGCTGATGTTATTCAAATTTTCAAAAATAGTTACACTTAAAAGTAACTAAGCAAATTGCCCATCTTTTAAAAACTATAATCCTAAATAATCCTACCTGATACCAGATACTTCTGCACAATTTAAACGTCTGGGGGATGAATATACAGGTTGTGTAGGAAGATCAGAAACATCCAATGCATTAGCCTGGATAGAAGAGCATAAAGCTGAAGGATGTGGCCGGTAGATGACACTTGGTGAGGTAGTCTGCTCCTGAGTTCCTGATTCATACACACTAAGAAGGTCTGGTGAAGTAGGTGAAGCAAGGTTTACTTCATGGAAGCCTTCCAAGGGGTCATTAGCCATAGCAAAAGCCTCATCATAAGATAACCTATTAAAACAAAAAGCAGATTGTTATTTTTGATGCTGATATTTAAAACTAAATTAAGATGCATAAATTATGTGTTTATAGTCCATAATAAAGTAAAAACTTAAGAGAGACTAAAGAAGAAAGACCTACAATCACTTAATACTTAATGACCTTAGAGTATACATACTACCAAAGGTAAACCACCTGATTTGGAAGAAACTTGAAAATGGTAACTAATATTGCTAAAGTAAATACACTTGATAAGTAAGTATGAAGAATACATAAAAATCTGCTTGATATTTTTTCTAACCAAGGTCACAGAAAGTTAAAAAGGCAGTAAAGATACACACAATCAATCAATCTCTCTCTCTAAATTTACCTACATATTACAGAGCTCCTATACGCTCATTCACTCATATTATCAAACTGTTGACATTTTTGGACCATTTGAGAATGTTTCAGATGGATACCCATAAACCCTTAAATATCTCAGTATATATAAAACTGTATCCCAAGTACAAGGCCAATCTCCTACATAATCACATAATCATCATCAAAATCTGAATATTAACTCTGATCAAATTAACATCTTATGGGCAGACCTCAATCAAATTTTACTGATTGACTCAACAATGTCCTAAATAGAACCAGGATCCAATCCTGGATAATGTGTTCCATTTCCCTAAACCTAAAATTTCTTCTCTGATGGAATGAGAATGAGGACAAAAAAATTTCCTCCAATGTTCTGCTTGTTGTGAGGATTAAAGGAAACAATCCATTAAAGTGCTTAGTAGAATACTACATGTCTGGCACACAGCACGACCTAAATAAATATTGTTATAATAGCCACTAACAATAACAAGTATATGTAGGTTCTCTGTTAACAAAAATATTTTATAAAACTACCCAATTACATTACAAAGTTTACACGAAAACTAAGACATATCCACTCAACTTTTTCATTTCAAGATTCTGTAAACCCTTTAGTTTCCACTGTCTACAGAATAAAGTCTAAACTTATTAGCCTGAAAAGTAAATTCCTCTACAATCTAAACCCAACTTCTACTACAGTTGTACTTTGATAATCATGAATTATACTTCCCAGAACTTTAAAGTTCCCAAATACAAGCATCAGTAGAGTATATAATTTCTTCCATGTTAAAATACAAAAACATGTTAAACTAAATGAAAAATTTAACTCTCATATCTCCAATAAAATGTTTAAAATCTCAAGTAGAGAATAAAAAGGTTTCAGTGAAGTTGAGAAAGAGGTGACTCAATATTTATATATTTTCTCAAAAGTACAGATTACTACATGACAGATCTCTAGGACATACATGAATGACCAAAATTGTTGGTTTGGCATCTACAAATGCCATTTTCAAATACAATAAACTATTAATTACAAATGGTAATTTCAGTCCTCAAAATGTTAACTAACCCTTGTTTCCTCATGCAAAATATCCACTATGTCAAATCATAACTCAGATTAGCAAGGAATTTAAAGTGTTTAATACTCCATTATAATTTATTTTCACCCAAAATAAATAAATTTCACCTTTATTCATAATTACACATACCCCAAGGAAAATCTATATTTCTTTTCACTTGAATATTAAATCATTAATCAGTTCATTTTAAGGTAGAACCCCTTTGCAATGTTTTCATTCAATTGACATTTTTATCAGTAACTATTTGTGACACTTCCTTTCCTTTATCCCAAATATTTTGGTGGGGCGTGGCAGGGGGACTAGAGATTGAACCCAGGATCTTTACCACTGAGCCACATCCTCAGTCCTTTTTCTTGAGACAGGTTCTTACTAAGTTGCTGAGAGTCTTAGTAAATTGCCAAGGTTGGCCTTAAATTTTCAATCCTCCTGTCTCAGCCTCCCAAGTCTCTAGAGAGGCTGCATGTGCCACTGTGCCCAGCTATCCCATATACTTCTAATTCACCTATCTATACCTTGAAGATTTAACTGAATCATAGGGTATAAACGCATTTCCATTTCTGGAAATGAAAAATGATATAAATCCTGAGAAAATGTGATAATAACTAGAAAAATGGCATATTCAGTTAGTGCATGGCCCATCATGCCACTCTTAAAGCTTTATCCTCCAAAAAAAAAATACATACTCATAAGGCTAACAGCATTATTTGCAAGAGCAAAAGACTATTTTATTGAACCAGGGTACATTCTCATAATGAAGCACTATATAGCTATAGAAAAATAAATAGTATCTACACACTGCTATGAAGAGACCCTGAAGATATTCTGATAAATTTTTTTAAAGGATAAGTACCTAGGTATTATAATCTACTTTTTATCTAGGAAAGGAGAATAAAAGTACAATTTGTTTATATATTTATAAATTTACACAAAATGTATATGATATATATTTGTATGTATATATGTTTACATTGTAGAAATGGAAGGGCAAACCAAACACTAATAAAAAATAGTTATCTATAGGAGGAAGAAAACAGGTAGGAGTGAACAGGCATGAAATCTAGATCTTTCTGACTGTACCTTGCTTGACAGATTTGAACTGAACTTAAAATCATAAAAATAATAAAACAAGATTAAATTTTAAGAGTCCCTAAAAATAGAAGAAACCTAACTATATATTGAGGTGATACCTTAACCATATACAAAAGAATTATTTCATATTATTTTAAAACACAGTAATATAAGTGTAAAACTCTAATGGAATGTTTATGGACAAAAGGAAGTGGAAAAAACTCAAACTATTTTCAGTGATGAGTGGTAACATTGGTACTGTTATTCTGAAACTATTACACATATAAGATGAAGCAAATGTTTTGTTAATGTCACTTGGAGCTAAGATTTTTTAGCATCTGAGAAAAAAGGACACAAGTATAAAATCAAAGAAGTTAAAAATCTCATAGCTCTAAATTTGAATCAAAAATAGCAGAAAAACTTTCTACTAAAAAATAGTCCCATCTTTATATCTGATGAAAAAGTATAGCAACACTGACAAACTCAGTAGCACTGGGTACCCACATGCTCAGAGAAATACCATTTTCTATTAAACAAACAAACAAACAAAAAACATAAACAAGAGCTCCTTGGAAAAACAGCTGATTACAAGCCTGGGGCAGTAACCTACAAAAGGACCCTAGAACATCTTCTTACACTAGAAAGCAAAAAAGTTATCAAAAATTACTGGAATAATATACGGACTCCCACTAACCAAAGATGGGACATCTGAACATCAAAAAGGAGAACATCTTCAAAGAACTGAAATTCAAAATATTTTTAAGTCCATGAGTTCATAATGATACTAAAAATAAAACAAACAAAGAAACCCTCACTGGTCTCCTTTGATCACTGCTATGGAACCAATTCACTATTTTCAAAATTGGTAAATAAAAGGAAAGAATGATGTATTTATCCCTACCTTCCTGTATATCAAGGAGCTAAACAGTTTGTGAGAAAAAAAAATTTAAAAAAAAAGAAAAAAATCTATTTCCAAACATACCTTCACAATTCTAATGAAATAATTAGTAATAGCTATTAAAACCATAACAGAAAAGGCTGTTTGAAGAATTTTATAGTTAATGAATCAGAATGACAGTACTGAGCACATCTTATCACAAAAAGGGAGAGAACCAGATGCTGTGTATTATGTGGTAAATAAGAAATGAATACCACTACCATTCACAAAACATTACCCCAAGGAAAAAAAGACCCCCAAAACAATCAAGCCTCTACATCTTCATCAGTTTGTAATGAATACAGAAGAAAAAGAAACATATTAAATAATATTGTCGGGCCCAAAGCAGAAAAATCCAGACTTTGGTAAATTCTCAGGGACAAACTATCTGTTTTTTGGTTTTTGTTTTGTTTTGGTGTGTGTGTGTGTGTGTATGTGTGTGTCTTAATATTTTTTAATTGTTGATGTACCTTTTTAAAAATTTATTTCTATATGGTGCTGAGGATCCAACCCAGTGTCTCATACATGCTAGGCAAGCACTCTACCACAAGCCACAACCCTAGCCCCAAACTACCTGGTTTTGTCAGGGGGAAAAAAAAAAAAAACTATTAAAAGAGGGTGTGGAGTAGATAAGGAGAGAAAATTGGTTAATTTTAAAAAGAGATACAAGAGACATAACTATAATGTATAGACTCTGGATTCTTATTTGAGTAAACTAGCAGTACAAACAAATGATATTATTAGGAATTATGGTTTTGTTTTTAAAAATCCTTGTTTTTTTAAAAGATATACACTAAAGTATTTATATATGAAGTAAGATTACTTGGTTTATTTGTTCAAAATAATTGAGGGGAAGCAGGGACGAGAGGTGCACCTCAGTGGTAGGTGCATGCTTTCACGCAGAGGCTCTGGGTTCTATTTCCAGCACAGCAAAAGGAGACTGAGAGCAGAAAACTACAAAAGGGCCCAGGAGGAGATGGAGGAATTGGGGAGCTGAGCCATCCAACTACCAGTCCCAGTCACACAGAAAGACAAAGTGGCTTCTCTCATGATAATAACAGCTGATTTTACTGAGAATTTATTAAATATTAGGTATCGTTTCAGTGCACTTCTGGGATATTTCAGTGGATTCTGTCTGGATCTCCAAAGTCCAAATCCTTAACCACTAGAACTATTTCCCATTCCACTACTAAACTATTCTAGTAGAAATGTTTCTTTTTATGTGGAATTATAATCCATCATCCCTGAAACACCAATCCTATTTTTCCTATACATAAATACAATATTTCAGCCATTCCTTTTAACGAGTATTTACTGAAGACCTACTACATACCAGGCTCTGGAGGGGAAAATTTTTTCTTTAATCAATCCTCCTCAAATAGCTTCAATACAGCAAGAAAGACTGACAAGTAGAAGCAATAATAATGTGATAAGTGCCTCAGAAGATGCAAAAGGTACGAAGAAATCACACAGGAGAGACAAATAAATCATAGGCAAAGAACTCCCAGAAAAAAAGAAAATTAAAGAAAAGTCCTCAACAAAAAGTAGGAAATATTGAAAAAGAC